AAAAAAAAAAAAAAAAAAAAAAAAAAAAAAACTAATAATTTTGTAGTATTCAGTCACTCAAAATAATGAAAAGAATATACAGGAGGTAATTTGAGTCTAAAACCCCCATGCCAAAGCTCATTAACAGAGGCTTGGTTCATTTTCATGAGAGGAACATTAAGCTAATACTCTAGCTACTCTAAATGGGCAGACAATATCCGGTTCAAATAAAACTTGCTGAGGACATTGGAACAAACAATGTTGATGTCGTCAATAAACACTGACAGTGGAATGGAAACTATTGATGTTTGCACATGCATTCTTTACATCTAGGCTGTCGATAAATGCTTTTGCCTAAAGGCCGCATATGTACTCTTTGACCTTCCTCGATCATCTTTTCTATTCTGTTCTCAAAAGTACTCCACCCAATACTGCTATTTTCTTGTAAAATCGCAGCAAGTCTTTTCTTGCTTGGTCTTACGATGGGAGAATTTCCACTACCATAATATGCCCGAAAACCAGACACCAGGGATGACAGCTGGCTCCCAGAGTCCGTCATTGCAAAAACATCAGCAGCAGCACAAGCAATGAAGTCTAAAGCTGCTAGCTGCATTCAAAGAGATTCTTGTGACTTAGCACATACGATGCATGTATCTTGATAACGAACTCTGTTTAGAAAGCACTGAATGATGTTTTATAAATGATTTGTCATAAGCTGTGAAGCACTACCTAGAAGGCTATTTACCTGTGAAGAAAAATTCTTAAAAGGTGCAAGTTCAGATGGTGAGAGAAGATCCTCCTTTGTAACCAAATTGGGATATAGGCTAGTCAAAGGATGCATCCTTGTTCTTCCTCCATAAATTTGGGACCCAGCAAGATAAATGTATGTTCCACTCTTGAAACCTAAACCAGCAAGAACTAATGCAGCTTCTTCTGGTGTCAATGGACATCTCCCCATCTGTCTGAGTTCTTGTGGAGTGAGAGGTCTGCAGTCATTGAAAGAGATCAGAAAACAACTTAAATAATTTAAACATGTTGGTTAATGCATGATTATTTAGAAATCTTACTTTATTTTCTTCAACCGCTTGATGACAAGCGGAAAATGTTCTTCCCTGTATGCTTGAAGTTCCCTTCTCTCATTTTCTCCGCCCCCAAACTCACACATAGAATAGGCTACCATATCAATTTCGAACCTCAAGTGCAAAGCAAGATAGTTAGAAGGGCTTCTTATGGTGTTATGCTCTTTAGAAGGGACGTCTGAGATGAAGTCTCCAAGAAGTTGCTTGTCTAACATGCTCCTTGCAGAATTATATTTTCTTATCCTCTTGATCAGTAATGATCCAACCTTCTGAATTCTTGGTACAAATTTTAAAGCATGAAAATTACATTTGCATCGTAGTCTCTGCAAACAAAGAAAAAAATTGCACAATTTTGAGTTAAACAGTTAAATAACAGGCATATTTTGAAGAACAAAGATATCTTGAGCAAACAAGTAGTGGTATCATAATCAGCCAGACTATCTAGGCTGTGGCAGCCTGGAATTGGGGCAGGGCCATGGACTGTCCCTCCTTTGAAGGTGGGCCATGCCAGGCCTAAAGGTCCGTACAGTCTAATAGAAAAAGATAACCAAGATTCAATGGGAGATGGGTCATAGGCTGGCCTGGCATGTCTTCACCTGGCCTGCCCTGGTTGATATCCCAGGGATCTTAAATCTATTATGAATTACACTGAAGGTAATAAGAATGTTTTAAACCTGGAGGTTAAAAGGAAATGGGTCAAACCCAAGTCGATTTCCGAATCCAAGGAAGTGAACGACTCCATTACGCTGTAGCAGAAGAAGTACATTCTTAATGTATTCATGAGGTGTTGCCTCCTTCGGAAGATCTGCATCAGTTATCTGGAAAAGAAATACAAGAGGCTTACACTTTGTTCTCCAAAGAAAAAGCATTTCTTATTCAACAATATCAACTGGAAAGGTGCACACAAGACTGCCAATTTCTTCAAAATCTATTGATTTTAGATCAGGAGGGAGCTCTTTCACAATATTGACATCATCCTTCAAAACATTTAGAAAATTCTCCTCTTGATAAATATCACTGAATTGGCTGCAATCCCAAGTAATAAGAAAGTTAAACGGAAGATAGAGGTCAAGAAATAGAAATATATCAGTTGGTAAGGGGATTCATTGAGAAATTATTGTAGAAATGAATGTATATTAGTATTTGTGTGGGTGTATTGCATCGTTTCTACTATTAACGAGTTACAGAATTAACATTTTTCATTCTTGTTTCAATGTATATGTTACTATTAACGAGTTACAGAATTAACAATTTTCATTCTGGTTTCAATGTAATCATATACTAGTACCGTAGAAATGAAGGCAAAGGAGAACAGTCAAACAAAAAATTATATTTACATGGAGAATAGAAGGAACATAGATTACCTTGGATCCTTCCATACATTGCTATAAAGAAATTTGGGAATCACTAAAGTTGCATTTAGCAGAGATGCTACAGCAACACCATTACAGACCTGCAGAGGATAAATTTTATGCAGAATCATGCTTGAGCTAGTAGTAAGAGAAATTTATTTTCATGCAAGCAAAAATATTCATAAAAAAGATATAACAGGCACAGTTTTATATCATGCAGGAGCTTATAGTTTGAGTTTCACAGATTATTATTTTCTGGTTCTTGATGCTTAGCGATGACAAGGTATTGATAGAAGCAACAATAGAGGCTTGTAAGTTACTATATTGTAGAAGTAATGCAGAAGTACAGCAACCTACAATCAACTGATATAAAATCTTCCAGCTATATATAATAGTAACAAAACAATTGAAAATAGTAATTATCTTATAATTATTTGGTGTCATCAAGTTTGTCAGATTAATAACATACAGACAGAACATCACACCTTTAAGTGCAAACAAGATTATAGAGTTACTATCATCACAATTAAGGAACATGATCACCTTTGAAGTTCACAAATTAAAAAAAAAAAAAAGGCTAAAGTCTTACGGCAACTCGTTGTTGATTTAGACCTCCATTTGCACTTATCAATATAAAACCAGTGCTATTCCTTGGTTTCCCTGCCATTGTACCATAGTTCAGAAGCACGATATTTTCTGTTTGAGATGTAACAAATGTTCAATGCAATCAATATAATAAGTTCATTCATGAACAAAGTTCAAAATGATACAGTATAGATACCTTGAGAATTTTTCTTATGTGCACAAGGTTTCCACAGGGATGCCTGAGGGTAAGTTTCCTTCCAAAACTTTGATAGTTGTGGCTCATTTTCTCTCTGTAGCATATGCATGCATATGAAAATATATAATATGTATCTTTTTTAAACCAAAATGCATGAATTATAACATTAGGGACTTGGATTAAACCTCTGCAAGAGAAATAGAAGCCAAATTAAGTAGTCGATGATACATCTTCACTGGACTTCTTTCTTGATCATAGTATGTAGGTTTTTTCTCCTACAGGCACGCCAAGAAAAGATATTCAAATTATAAACATCACTATTGGCTAGCCAATGAAACTTTGACAATTGAATGAGCAGTCTTTGGCATCGGGTGAAATAAAGAATAGGATCAATCAAAGGGCTCAAAGATATTAGAAACAGGATGGATGAACCAGAAATGAGAAAAACTTTTGTGTCAGATAATAAAATATAACATTTTAATCTCCAAAACATTGATTATTAAGAGAAATCATATGAATAAAACAATTCATCAAGTATACCTCTGTCACCCTTGATTTTCTAGGAGCCAGATTATGATGGAGAATCACGGGATCAAAAATGGAAACCATCACAGAATCCAAAAGAAAAAGAAAACACACCAACATGAATGTGAAAATAATTGACCTAATGTGTCTATGCAGCCACCATGTGTGCCTTTTCCCAGCATAAACTCCTTTACAAGACTTCATAGTATCATTCTTAGACCCTTTACCAGATACAACACTATCCCAATAGTAGTCTCCACCAGGCACCCTTCTACCTAAAGACGGATCACCATTTTGTAGCATTTCCGTCCACTTAAATTGATGCTCTTTAAGCCCAGACGATGAATCAAAATTTAAAGAATCAAGACGACTTCTAGGAGATCCTTGCTTCCCCATTCCTTGGGAAATAGGATATTTCTCTTCCAAACTTTCAAGTAGACAGAATTAGTATTCCATTGCCATTCGTTGGTTTCAAGAATTCATTGCTGATAATCAAGAATTACACCAAACAAACACCAAATGCAGTAAAGTCCAAATAAACTCTATTGCCACTTTTGCAGCAAAAGTTACATTCTACTTGATGGGATTTGGAAATCTTGATGCTGCGTGGGTAAGAAGTAGTGCAAGAAGATAAAATGGGCGCATCAAAGTAAGCATAGATTGGAAGTGAAGTTAAAAATAAAATAAAATAGTTGGTGACAGTTGCATTGTACACATCAAAATATACTTGAAAGATGAAACTATAGATGAGTGCAGTATAAGCCACTTAACAGAAGGAATGGGATTGAACACTTAGCCTATAATCTTTCATGGTGACGATGAACTACTACTTGCCACCAAACAGAGTAGTTGACCAACATTCTATTATTTTAAACTTTTTTATGTTCGATAAATGGGAAAAAAATTTAACGATTTAAAAGAATGTCTGTTCTTTGCGACCTTTCGCTTCTAGATTCACAAGGGTTTGTAAAGATTAAAAAAGAAACCATTGACTAGAAAAGATAAGCTCCACTTATGTTTTCTTTCGCATAATTCTGACTAAAAGCGTGTTCTTGGCATAAACTCTACACGATTATAAATTCAAACTGGAGAAATCTGGAGGAAAACATACAGGAGAGGAAGATAGTCTTCGCAGGGTCCATAAATGACGTGTGCATAGAGGGACCCATCAGCCAACTAAAAACTACCTAACTGTTCGTTGACAGATTTTTATTTTTATTTTTATTCTCTTTTCAGTAATTTTTTCTTCCTTTTTTTCGTTTAATTTCTGACTGATGTATATATTCTAGTTTTTTTTAGAGTGCATTTGGTTTGCTATTTTGAGACCATTTTCAATTTTCAATTCTCCTCAAAACGTGTTTGATATGTTATTTTTAAAAATGCATTTTCGAAAATAAGAAAGTTTTACTACATAAAACTCAAAATGACTTTTTGACATTTTTAATGTTTTCATACACTCAAACAAACTCAAAATAAGGAAAATGAACTTAAGATTTTCTCAAATTAAAATAATTAATAAAATCACACAAAATCTATTCAAATTCAACTTTAAAATTTATTTTTTTAATCACATATTAGAATAAAATTGATGTCTTACTAAATAATCAAATTAATTGAAAATTTTATATCATAAAACTATTTCTAAAATCTTTAAACCAATTGTATTTTCTAATTTTTTGTTATGAGAAACATTTATCGAAATGTCAAATCAAACCCATTTTTTGCAATCATAAAATAATCCTTCAAATTAGAAAAAAGAAAATGAATTCAAAATTGAAAACAGAAAACAAATACCCAAACCAAACACATCCTTAGAATTTATATTGCTTCGACTTACCGGCTAGACCTAGCCTGGAAGAGCGATCTAGGCATTTTGAAATCATGATCCAAAGAGAGCTCTACTTGCTATATCAAGCCCCTATTCAATATGGTTGGTGAACTAATTATTCGTTAAAAAATAATAATAAATAAATAAATAGGGGTCTCAATTTTCCCGGACCCATCTAGTTCTCGTCTTTAAATATAATCAGAACTAACCTAGACGTGCTAGCTCCGTCGACTTCAGTTTGATTTTGGTAATTCAATTTCGAATTTATGGTTTAGTAAGTGATTAATTTTGGTTTGTTTGTTTTAACAACAATGTAGCAAGTAAACAAGTACTAAAGGACTTCTTTGTGTAAGAAATAACATAAATTTTTCAAATAATATTTCATATTCCCTGCCTACAAAAAATTGTAAAAATCAAATTCGGATTTTGTTGAGTGCTGACAGAACATCTTTAACATTGATCCTTTCCTCTGGTAATTCTTCACAGCACTTGAAAGCTAATCCCATTATGGATTATTAACTGCAATTTGCTATTATATTCTCTTCCTATGGCCCTAATAAATCAGGATCTGTAATTTGCATTATTGCATTAGGCCATGATTCTTCTATCTAATCTTTCAGTCTCAATTCTCCTTCAAACATTGTATCAGTGGGCTTCTTTCTTGTGAAAGCTTCCATTAACATGATCCCGTAGCTATAAATATCACATTTTGTAGACACTGGTCCTTCCGATCCTTACTCTACATTGCAATACAAGAAAAGGGTCAATTGATCACATCGAACTTTTGATAAAAAGAAAAAAGGAAAAAAGAATTCGATTTGCATGTGAGCGACTGTTGCACTCAATATTACCAGGTGCAATATGTCCAATTGTTGCAAGGGTCTTCGTTTGTGCAACGGTCTCCTCCACTCCTAATAACTTTGCAATGCCGAAATCACTGACATGTCCTACCATATCGTCGTCTAGCAACACATTGCTTGGCTTCAAATCACGAACCATAGGTGTTGAATAACCATAATGGAGATAGTCCAATGCAAAAACCACATCTTTCATTATATCTAATCTTTGCCAAATATCTACTATGTCACATAAAAAAATGAACATGTGTCCCAAAACATGGACAACATGCTCCATGAAATAGTCATACTGACAAACTCTATCGTAAGGCTTTGACTCCAAAATCAAAGGCTCAATTCCAAAAGATGCCCAAAAATTCAACTGCTACCCGATAAGAAAAATTGCAAGAAAATATATAAGTTGATAGCTCATTGAGTGGTGAAGTTTTAAAATAATTATACCTTTTGATTCATACATTTTTATCAAAATCGAGTCTACATCACTTAACAGGTCATGATATAACATTACATAATAATAATCAAGATAGAATTATTCTTGTAATACTGAAAACATCATCTTTCAGACATGATAAATCATCAATGTAAACTCAAAATATTTTCATTTGAAACTTTCATTTTTGTTGGGCCCATGACACACCTACCAGGTATCGAATAGAGCTCTGCTTAATATCAATATCAGTAATTAATAATCAACTAGCATAATCGAATGGCCCATCCTCCTGTAACCATCAGGGGTACATCTCCTGACATCCCCCATGATCATCCAAGAAATATCCCACCCAAGATGCTAATGATCACAATATCACAGTTGAGTAGACCATCCTCCTGTGATCACTAGAGGTACATCCCCTGACAACCCCATGATCGCCCAGAAAGTATCCCACCCAAGAAACTAATAATCACCATATCACCATAGTACAAGCAAGTGGTCAATCCTCCTGTGATCACCAAATGTACATCCCTTAACTACCCTTGCTATAACCCGAGAAATCTCACTCGCGGCTAACACAATGGCATGCCTCGATGCCCTAGTAGTGGTCAATAGAACATATGTCTCATATACTAATTCACAAGTATTCCACATGCAATTTTTGTAATTCCACCTATATCATAGTGAGAGAACAATTAATAATAATCATGTAGTTGAAATAATTCACATAATTCCACATAACATAATAGTATAATCAATTTATTAATACTTGAAAATATTTAATTTTTTTCACTCACAGAACTATGTATACAAAATCAACTCTATTGGTAGGTTGTCCTGATCTCCATATTGTTGCTTGAAGATATGATGTAATTTTTAGATTAACAATTAACCATTTTGAGTAACTTCAATAATTAAATAGGTGATACTAAATCTTAATCTTTTTATACTTAAGCAATTTTTCCAATTCCTTTAATCACTTAAACTATTTTTTCCTCCCTTTAACTTAATCATATAGCTTATTTTACTTAATTCAATTATTCCACTTTCAATAAAATTGAATTTAAACTTATAATCTAACAACTCTAAAATTAAATATAACTATTCAATAAATAATTTTTTACTTACCTTTGAAATTGAAGAATTCAAGTTTAATAGTAGAAATAACTTATTTTCTAACAACGTTGACAAGCTTTCCTATTTTTTTTCTTCTTTCTTTTCTCTTTTCTCTCCGTATCTCGGTTTCTCTGTGTGTTGTGTGTGTTTTGAGTGGAAATGAATTGGTAGGCAAATGGATTAGTATAGCATTTGTTTGGATTAAATATGAAATGGATTAGTTCCACCACCTGGCTTTTTATATTTATTTTCTTTTTTTTCTTTCTTTCTTTCTTTCTTTTTTTTTTTTTTTTAATTAAGGCATGACAATGTTGACTAGAAATTTTAGGTTGTCTTTTCTTCCTTTTTTTGAGGGTCGGCCCTGATGAAAGGAGTAGGAGGCGATGAACTGCGTGTAGTTGGAATTAAGGCCACCCATGGTGAATGAAATGAGATCATCCATCAGCTTCCCGACAGCAAAAAGTTGGTTAGCCAGAAACTTGGCTTAAAAAGGTACGAAGCACAAGTCATAAAACCCTATTGGAAGTTCTACAATTGACGTTTGAAAAATTAGAGACTTGGACTGGGAGACATAACGAGCAGCAAGAGACTGACATGCAAAGTACGATGTGTCCCAACCCTAGAGGGATACCACTAGTAAAGGATAAGTAAAGGAGATGATCCAACTGAGAAAATGTTGATCAATGTTATGCAAAGTAATATATGTTGGATTTGGAGTCTCACTTTTCTCAATAGCATCATCAATGTACAGAGGAGAAGAAGAAGAGCCATCAATGAAATTCATTAGGTTATGACTCTAGATGACAGGTTTGAACTGGGCAGTCTATATATGCAAGGTTATTTGTCTCATCACGTTTGATCGAGACAAGTTGCGTGGGAATCGGAAAAGAAAAATTGGATGAGGAACCATGCTATAAAAGTGGAAGCATGGGAGTTTAACGTAAACTATATTGCTTTGGTACAATGTAAATAAACAAGTGCTAAAATCTATTTTTGCAAGATACAAAACAAAGGGAATATTTACACATAGCTTTACAATTTTGAAAGCAATATATAGCCAAGATATCAACAAAAATCAGAGACAAAAAAGTAAAAATTGTATGACCTAGTTTCACGGGCACAGAAAGGGACACCGTGCGGCAGTAGTCTGCTCCGCTAGATTACCCTCCGTCTTTTCTCAGTCGCGTCGGGATGAAGAAAAATTTGATTACAAGTTTATAGGAAGCTTACAACGGAGAATTTGAATACATTGAAAGTAAATTGAACATTGATTGATGAAAACTGAACATTACAATTGCTGGTGCAAGGGGTGGACACCAGTAGTTTGAAAGATTTTTGAATGACTAATACCCCTTATAATAGCATTCGGAATAAAAATCTAAGTGATGGGTGTAGACGTTTAAATGATGATGAATCAGACTAAA